TAGTTAATAACTGCTTATCTATCAATCTATGTGCCTTTGATGCCAATTTTTTCATATATTTGTTTTTGAATCTCACGACCGCCCTTCAAGCCAATCAGAATCGAGCTGCCACTACTGAGAGGGAAAATCTGCTCAGCTTTTGGAGCAAGTGAGAGCTAGTGAATGTTTCGCTCTGCAGCTGGATGAGAGCACGGATGTAGCAAATGTCGCAGAATTGCTTGCATGCATCAGATTTATTTCAGAAGACAACTTTGTTGAGGAAATATTATTTTGCAAAGCACTGGAAGGGAGGACCACATGAAGAGACATTTTCCAAGTTTTAGATGAGTACATCATCTCAAACGGACTTGACTGGTCTCGTTGTGTGGGTGTGTGTTCAGTCGGGGCAGTGGGGCTATCACAGGCAAAGAAAGCGGAGTGACAGCTTCGATCAGGCCGAAGGCCCCAAATGTAGTGGCAACGCACTGCATGTTCCATCGGGAGGCACTTGTACACATCATTTAAAAAAAAAATTGCAACAGGGGGGTCCCCGCCAGAGGATAATGCTATATGGGGGCCCTTGGCATGGCAAAGTTTGGAAACCCCTGGCTTAGCCCACTGAAGCTTTAGGTAGTGCCCTTTTTGTCGCAAACAGATAAAGAATAACGACTTTAGTAAGGGGTTTTCTACCTTTCATTATCCATTATAAACACAGCAGTATAAGCATTGGATCCATTTAGCATACATTCCTGAGGCCTTTAAGTTGCCCATTTTGTTTATCAGTCCTATTTTATTCAAGGGAATCATTTTATGTGGATAACTGAAGACAGATCATGATATGAAACTCTCCCGTATTTACATTATATGTAAAATGCAGAAAAAGGACTGAAGCACATGGATCCAATTCCTTTCAACTTGTCATGGTCCAAATGTTGTTTTTTCTTCAGAGTAAAAGAAAGTGTGGCCTGCAGTGAGCTGCGGTCCACTCTTCTGTCTGGAGTTTGATCAAAGAAATACCTCATACAGCTGAACACTGATGGATGAGTGGAAATCCCTCTTTATGTAAAATGGCAGCTTGTGGCCACACTCAACCCAGAGCAAATCAAAAGATGAAGTAGGTTGTTCTTAGTTTTCTCTGATGGATACATTCTCTCTTGCTTATAATCAACAAATTACTTATGGGGTAACTTTACATCATGAAGAAAAAATCACTTTTACAATTGTTTTACAGAGGTCTGCTAAAATGAGGGAAGAGCAGTGTAACTTTACTTCAAGTGGAGAGAGTGAAATAAATATATAAAAATTCTAGGATCCATTTTTGTTCAGAAGAGTGAGTCATACAGTTCCCCACGACCCGAGATGTAGAAGTGAGTGAACCACTAACGAATGTGACAAGTGTGTAAGACCTGTCTTTTTTTATCTCCTCCTCTTAAAACTGCTTTAGGATCAGTGTCTAAGACCATTGAAGCATACTGCATCAGGCTGCACAGAAGTCTTAGGAACACCAAAGGTGATTGATGCAATGACTTTATAGTTAGCAGGTCGCAGAAGTTCTTCTTCTGCCTTGAAACAAAAAAGTATGTAATCTAGTTACACCTTTAATTTCACGGCCATTCATTCATATTGCTTCGTGTCGTGCCTGGCAGGTGTTGTTTTCAGAGCTGGGAAAATCTCTAGCACATTTTGCGGAATAAAAACCTGATCCACCTTTTTTTTTCTGGTGCAGCTAGTGGTTGCTTTGTCTGCATTTTGCCAGCTTTAGGTCAATTCAAGGAGTCAGGTTGATTCCCCTTGTATCCTGGCTGTTGTAATGATACCTGAGTTCTCAACCACATTTAATGAACCTTCAGTTTGTCTGAATAGCGACTGATTTGAGTCTGAAGACATGGTAATGACAAATAACCGTGATGGATGGACTACACTGAATAGCTAAGTGGCTCAGTCAGTGGATCACATGCTTTGAAGGAACATAACAATGTGGCATCAGAGTGATAATGACATGCGTATATAGTGCCACGATTGCAGATGCTATTATTAAATTAACTTGATCTTTACCACTCTATTAAGGTCTTTAGGGGAATGATGCCTCTTTACCCTGCATGTAGACCCCTCAGAAAAGGATGATAGTATGAGTAGCAACTTTTAAATTGTCTCCGTCAAATCCTGCAGAGACCTCATGTCAGGGTGTTTCTCTGAAAGCAGCAGATCTCTTGGTATTTCCCTCACACGTTCACATTTTCCTTATGCGCTGAATCTGTAAAAAAAAAAAGTCTCCCGGCACAGTTCGCTCCTGAAATAACTGCAGGTGATAACTAGCTGAGGTTTGGTAGCAGGTGTCCTGTCACCTTCGCCATTATGTATGCATACCTGTGGGCGGAGGTGGTAATTAACTGTTGCTTCGTCATTTTTAGATGGTTGCCATGACAGCTCTCTCTGTGCTCTCTCTTTTTTCTCACCTTTTCTTCTTCTTCTTCTTCTTCTTCTTAATAAACTGTCACCTACTTACAGTGTCTCTTTCTGTTCCTTTTTTCCTGCGTGTGTTCTTGAGTTTTTACAGTACATATAGTAGGAAGGCAAGTCGACTTCAACATCCTCTTACTGTGTGTGTGTGTGTGTGTGTGTGTGTATGTGTGTGTGTGTTTTGACAGGTAGAGGTAGACAGACTAGCCTCTTATCCGATTTGGCATTTTGCATGAAACTAAAATATACACAATACTTTTCATACCGTTCTATAAACATTAAACATAAACTGACAGTATCAATATGGAATAATGTGTGCTTTCTAACATGTTTTTTCTGTGTGTATGTTTCTCATGCTGTCTTGGAGATTGGCATGTGAGAGTTAATGGCTTGTAACTGGTGTCAGGATTACCTGGCCCACAGCTA